TCTGGCTGAGCGCTGCTCCCCCTGTGGGAGCGCACTGACCATCAGGGGGCAGCTCCTGCATTGAGCATCTGCCCCCTGGTGGTCAGTGCGTGTCATAGCGACCGGTCTTTCCACCATTCAGTCTATTTGCATATTAGCCTTTTATTATATAGGATTCTTCACAGTCAACCTTCTGAAAACAGTTTTCTTCAAAATTCCCCACCTCCCCTTCACACTTCAATCCCCTTTAGTTTGGTTTCTATCAGAATCATTTTGATAGGATTGTTATTCTTAAAGTGCTTTCCTGAGGTCCTCTTACTTGCCAAAATTATTTTCAGGCTTTGTCTTTCTTGCCCTCTCTGTAGTACCCCCCTCCTTTTTGGAAACTTTCTCTTGGTTTGGCTCCCATCAGACTCTGCTGATTTTTCTACTATCCCCAGAGAATCCTTCTCATTCTCTCTCTCTTTTTTAATATATATTTTATTGATTTCAGAGAGGAAGACAGAGGGAGAGAGAGATAGAAACATCAGTGATGAGAGAGAATCATTGATTGGCTGCCTCCTGCATGCCCCTTACTGGGGGCCGAGCCCACAACCCTGGCATGTGCCCTGACTGGAAATTGAAGCATGACCTCCCGATTCATAGGTCAACATTCAACCACTGAGCCATGCTGGCTGGGCCTCATTCTCTTTGGAGGCTCCTTTTCCTCAATGTGACTCTTAAATATGTTAAGTATTTCACAGAGTTCTTGCTGAGGTAGACATTTTTTCTTTATGTCCAGTAGTCCCCCACTTATCCATGGTTTCATATTCACATTTCAAGCAGTAATTTAATTTCAGCCAAACATCATTTATTACATTTATTTAATGTTGCCAAGTAATGTATTTTTTATAGTTTTGTTTCTAGTAATTTTGTCTATAAATTTGTTATTTTATAGTTGTACTAGAGGCCCAGTGCACGAAATTCATGCACTGGGGGGGGGGGGGGGGCGGGGGGAGCTGTCCCTCAGCCCAGCCTGCACCCTCTCCAATCTGGGACCTCTCAGGGGATGTCCAACTGCCGATTTAGGCCCGATCCCTGTGGGATATCCCTCTCACAATACGAGGACTGCTGCCTGCTTGATTGCCCCAACCGCTCTCCTGCCTGCCTGCTTGATTGCCCCTAACTGCTTCTGCCTGCCAGCCTGATAACCCCCTAACCACTCCCTTGCCAGCCCGATCGACGCCTAACTGCTCCCCTGCCGCCTGGTCGCCCCCAACTGCCCTCCCCTGCTGGTCCATTCACCCCCAATTGCCCTTCCCTGCCAGCCATCTTGTGGCTGTGGGCACCACCATCTTTGAGGGCATGGCAGTCAATTAGCATATTCCCTCCTTATTGGCTGTGGGCACCGCCATCTTTGCGACAGTGTGAGGGTCAATTAGCATATTCCTTCTTTATTAGATAGGATAAAAGGTAGCAGCATAAGGAGCAGATATCTAGTTTTATGCATATACAGTAATATTATAAGTCAATTCTAGGGGTCTACAAAAAATGTTTTCAATGATAACAGAGTTCCTATATTACTGGCTTAGGAAACACTGTTTTAGATGCTGACACTCCCATAAGTGTTACCTTCCTTCCCACACTGGGTTAGAGCCAAATTTGCAGCCCATTTTCAGCAGTGTTTAGAATTTGATGGAATACGTTTTGTGGTTAAATTTACCTTGTGATACTTTTTGTGATTAAATTCAAATGTAGGTTCTTTACTATATTCTCTCTTTTCTTCATTTTCCTCACCTATATTCAGTGGCTTTTATCATGCTACTAGAGGCCCAGTGCCCAAAATTTGTGCATGGGTAAGGTCCCTAGGCCTGGCCAGCGATCAGGGCCAATCTGTGGGGCAACCGGTGGGGCAATTGGGGGGCCCCCGCTGGCACCCGCCTTGGCTGGCCTGGGGCCTGCAGGCTGGGGGCAGCTCCTGCATTGAGCGTCTGCCCTCTGGTGGTCAGCGCGCATCATAGCGACCGGTTGTTCCACCAGTCATTCTTCTGTTCAGTCAATTTTCATATTGGGCTTTTATTATATAGGATATTGTATGTATCTTGAAGGCTGCCCTAAATCCTTTCTGCAACCAGAATGAATATAAATACTTTTAGTAGTGGCCAAACAGTAATTAAAATGTGAACCCAATATAATATGGAGTAAAGCTACAATCTCAGGTGACTTTGGGTCTCATATTGGAGATGAAATACACACTCAGACACTTCTATAATCATTTCTACAGCAATAGATGGAGGTGACAGCTACTTTCTGTTAATCTGCCTCAAAAATCAAGCACAGTGCCGTTTCTTCATTTTCTCTTAGGAAAAATACCAGTGCCCTCTAGTGTCAAAAATGCACCTGTGCAGTGCCCTTTATATCTGTTTATCCTCAAAGAGTAATTGTAATAATCCGATGCTGGAGATAATTTTAAAAAATAAATTTGGGGACAGGAAATCCCAGCAGCAATACACAAGCATGTTATTATCCTACAAATCACTATCTAAAATGCTCCTTTACCCCCATGCTTTTGAGAGGAAAGAATACACAAAAAATAATTCCCTGAAGAGAACAGATTTTTTTTTTTAACCCACTGGTTTCTCAGGTCTCACATCTTTATCTAACTTCTCTGCATTATCTTTATCTTCTAATGCAATGACAATTAGGTTTATTTGTAATAATGTATTAGTAATTATAATTACAGTAGTTTCCTTTTATGGGAGGAGGGGAGACAAATTCCAAGACCCCATATGGATGTCTGAAACCATAGATAGTACCAAACATTTTTCCTAAACAGCCATACCTATGATAAAGATTAATTTATAAATTAGACACAATAAGAGATTGACAGCAACTAACAATAAAATAGAACAATAATAATATACTGTATAATAATGCCCCCAAAGTGGATGACTTTGGGGGCATTATTACATAAACTAGAGGCCCCGTGCACAAAATTCATGCACTGGGGGGTCCCTCAGCCCGCCTGCGCCCTCTCGCAGTCCCAGGGCCCCTCACTCCTTACAGCCTGCTCGCTGTTCCTTAGCACTGCCACAGAGGTGGGAGAGGCTTTCTTCCACCGCTGCCGCTGTGCTCGCCAGCTGTGAGCCAGGCTTCTGGCTGAGTCATGCTCCTCCTCTCAGAGCACACTGATCACCAGGAGACAGTTCCTGCATTGAGCATCTGCTCCCTGGTGGTCAGTGCACATCATAGCAACCGGTTGTTCAGGTTGTTCTGCTGTAAGGGTCACTTAGGCTTTTATTATATAGTTAAGAGTTACTTGAACACAGGCACTGGGATGATGCAGTATCAGGTAGTCGATCTGATCATTGAGCAGCAGGCCACTAAGTGACAAGCCTTAGTCACTAAGGAGTGGGTAGCTGTGTAGTATACAGCACGTATATGCGGGACAAAGGGATAATTCACTTCTCAGGAGGAACAGAGCCGGAGGACTGGAGGTTTCATCATGCTATTCAGAACAATGCGCAATTTAAAAGTTCTGAACGGTGTTTTTCTGGAATTTTCCATTTAATGTTTTCAGGACTGCAATTGACCAAAGGTAACTGAAACCACCCCAAGTGAAACCGCGGGTAAGGGGGGTGGGTGTTACTATATAGGCACAGACTCTGTAAAGACCCAGTCATTGGTGGTGGCAGAAAATATGTTCTGTGGCATGCCTGCTTGTGCAACTGCCCAATCCTTGGCATGCTAGCTGCGGGTGGAGTGGCCCCCAAAAGCAACCCGCGCTCATCGCCTGGACCACTCTTCTTTGGGCCAAAGGCGGTTCCGACTACCGCACATCGGGGCACGCCGGGCAGGAGACTAGCCCAGGCTCTCGGGCTCCCCGCTGGCCTTTACTGTGGCCCTGGAAACACTCCTCCTGCCCCTAGGTTGTCACGAAGCCCAGGGTGCTCTTGGGCGGCGTGGGTCTCAGAATACCAGCCCCAGCGCGCCCTGCTCCCCGGCCTGCAGGTGGCATTCGCGTCCTCCCACCAGGAAAAGCCGTAGCCAAGTTCGGGGGGCGCTGCAGCCCCTCTCCCGGCCCCGGCGCGGAGAAGGACGCTCTGCAGCTCGCTCCCCAAGCCCGGGATCGGCCCCGACCCCCTAGCCCCGCCCACCTCGGAGGGCTCGGCGCGCAGCGATTGGTGGCGAGGCGGGGGCGGGGCTCCGGAGGTGGGCCGAGGGGGCAGGGCCGGGAGGGGACAAAGCCGGGAAGAGGAAAAGGCTGCCCCGCCTGCTGGCTGGTCTGTCCCCGGGTTTCTTGGAGGCTGTGTCAGACGCCGAACCGCTGGGACCCGGCTGGGATTGCCAGTGTTTGCGCTGGTGAGTTGGGTCGCGAGTGGCTCTGGCGCCAGCCCCACCCCGACGCATCGCCGGCGTCCCGACCCTGCAGGTAACCGCAGGCTGCGAGGGGCGGCCGGGCCCTGGCTTTAGGGGAGGCTCTGAGTCCGCCCACGGCTGGGGAGAAGGAAGAAAGAGATCTTGGGTTTGGAGGAAGGAATTTAGCGGCGAGTTCTGGTCGCAAAGAAGGGGGCCGGGGATTAATCCAGGTATTGCACGTGGGAAAGGGAAGTGGGGAGGAAGAGGGTGCCAGGTGCCTGGATGTGCAGAGGCCGGCTCTCGGGCACGGGAGGGTGAAATGGGGCGGCGGAAAGTTGTCTGCAGTGACCGTGGACGCCCAGGTCTGCATGCAGAAAGGAAAACCGAGCGACGGGAAATTGCAAAGACACCTAGAAGACTGAGTCGTGGGTTTAGGGGGAAAAAACGTGCGGCCAGGGGAACCAAGTACAAAGAAAGGTGGGACCCGACGACTTGGGCGCGTGTGCTGCGAACTCAGACGGCGGGGAGAATGCCCCCGCTTGGGGGGCATGGGGTGGGAGGAGCCCCAGCACCCGTTTGCGGGGCGGGCGGAGTGGGGGATGGAGCGATCTCAAGTTCTGGGGTAGGCGTTCCCTGGCCGGTTCCCCACGCCGGTTTAAAGGTCCGGCACCCGAGAGGGAAGGAGTGGGCGTGGAGACCAGGAAGGAGGATCGGGGCCAGCTGCCGTTGCAAGCCTCTTGCACAAGGGCCACAAGGACGTAGGCAGGCCAAGAACCTGCTGGTCGCTGCGTCACTTAAGGGCGTACAAACCTCTGGACCAGCTCAGGGACGGCGAACCCCAAACCTCAGGACCAGCTCAGGGACGGCGAACCCCAAACCTCAAGACCAGCTAAGGGGCGGCGAACCCGGACGCACCCTCCCGCGTGTGCCCGCGCAGAGATCGGTGCTCCCCTAACCTTTAATTGTACGGTTTCTACAGACCTGCCCCTGCCCTTCGCCCCTCTGGGTTCACTCCGCACTGTACTTTAAACCAGATAAGCCGGGCCGTCTAAATCCTCCTGACAAGAGGGGTTTGTGTGCTGTCTTTTTAATTCCCTGTTTGATTTGTGGGGTGTTTTTTTAGGGGTTTTTTTAGGAGATAAACGGCACTCAGCTGAGTTCCCAAGACTGAGAGGAGTTGGAGTGATTAGAAACTGATTCACGGTAAAGGTAAGAATTAGCAATTCCTCTCCTTCGGTATTTTCTTTGATGTGGCAATACTGCTTTTAATTGGTCTTGGATATCTTAGAGGCAGGCATTGCGAGGGAATGAGTCAGGAATATTTTCAATAATAAATTGCAACTGACTGCTTCCGTGTTTCTTTCAGTTCCAGCGTCTTCTCTGCAGGAGACTATTTTTTTGCCCAGAGATTATTGTAGTTCATGAAAGCAGCTTTTTAAAAAAAATGGCTAAAAAAAACTTGGAGTTTATGAAAAATTAAACAGGGTGAGCAGCCCTTTTTTCTTACACTAGTCAACATTAGTCCAGGCTTGTTTACTGGAGTTACACAAGTGTGTCAGAAGATTAGAATTAGGCTGTTTTCAGACAAAAGAACCAACCTGTGGAAAAGTCCTTCCTTCTGAAGTTGGGGTTTGGGTGGAGATAGGAAATCTGAGGGGCAAGGGTAGACAAGTGAATCCACTGGGGCCTAAAGCCCACCTCATGGAATTCAAATCTAAAAGAAATAAAATAATGTCCTACATTGTAGTAAGCCAGGGTCTTCAATAAAGCTTCCGTTGTTTAGTTAACAAGTGATAAAATTTTAGTTAAGTAATGTGAGGAAAACCTGAAATACTTAAATTACACATTGTGAATATAGAACAATCACTGCTCAAAACATTTACTTCAACTGAGAAGGAAATAATTAACTAAAAAATATTGTCACTCAGTGTTGAAATTTCAAGTATAGTGTATGACCTTCTATTAATTGTATTTGTCATCCAGGAAAAAATAGCCAAGTAATAACTCTTGCATAATTCTATATAGAAATATGGCCATGGAAATGTAGTATTAAGACCAAGATAAGTTTGCTGCCTCTTTTTTGTTTTGTGGTAAATGCAAGAACAGTTGTCACAGTGGGATCCATGTGACTGAATCATATACTCGTACTTTAAGCTGTACTGTAAATCATACTTGAAATTACAAATGGGAAGTAATTGACTCATCCACACCAGTTTGTTCATTTCTTTTATTCTTCTTGAGTTCCAGATGGTTCCCCAGTAATAGTAACATAAGCAGGATTCTAGAATTGCAAACCTGGGAAGTGAAAATGGGCCTGGGGGTAGAAAGGTACCCTGGCTTGTCACAGAAACCAAGGCTTACCACCTACTGATCACGACATCCTTTAATTTGAAGGCCAACTACTTGAGCTCAACTTTTCAAGAGAGGCTGTTTATAGGCCTTTTACCTAATAATTTTTAAAGTCAGCTATACATCCAGGGGAGGAAAAGCAATTTGCAATTGTGTTGCTGGGGGAGGGAAACTTCCCACTGGTGCATCAGGAAAGGGAACAGATACTTTGAGCAGGCTCAGGGTGTCCTCTGCCTCTCAGAGAACATGCGTAGGACAGGGCCTTCCTTTAAGCCTCATAGTCTTGCTTTTCCAAAGCGTGCACCCCCACACCCTGTTCCTCAAAATGGCATCTCTTCCTGAAACAGTTCTCCTTCCCTATGCCACGCACTGACAGCTTACCTTTACCCACGAACAGCCAGCAGAACAGGACCGGAGTTGGGTTACTGAGGAAGAAGACAGGGACATGCTTGGGTCCTGAGCAGTGACCTTGTATAAACAGATTTCTCTGATTGAGAAATCACTCTTGTATTTAGCTCCACATCCTTAGTATTTAATATTGTCTCTAGGGAAGCAGTTCCACCAGGAATTCTTCATCTTTCACTTTTAGACTTAAAAGTTCTTTAAACATAAGTCACAAGAACTTGTTACATCTCCTTGAGGTAGTTATTTGAACCAAAACAGCCTCTTAAAAGAGGGGAAATATTAGCTCTCATTCTGTTCATCTTGAGGGCACAGTATAGTGAGGAGTTGAATAGAAGTGTTCAAATAAGCATGATATTGTGGAAATAATCTTATTTTCCAGGACAAACCGAATAATGATTACATTACTGAGGGCATGTTACAGGAGCAGGTTCCAGATGCTCTAGCAGGTGGCCTTGGGAAAGCTACTTCTCTTATATAAATGTAAAATAAGGAAATAATTCCGTCTTTCAGGGTTGTTGCGAGGGTTAACTCAAACCACACATGAAGCATGTAACACAATGCTTTATGTAGAGAATGTGCTCAATGCTAATGGTAACTGTAATTACTATTAGCTTTTCATGCAGTCATGCTACTATGAATTATTCTTTTAGTAGTCCCCAAATGTTTCTATTTTGTTTTTATACTAGTGATACTGTGCAGGAACTTCATTTCTTTACTATGATCTTTTCTTCTTTCTTTCCTTTTCATTCAAACTGACCTCATCCAGCACCCGACTCACCTTCTCCCTTACATGTCCAATCCCTTAAGCATTAAGCCCTCAGGACTATGAGGTTCTGGTCAACATCAAATAATCTTAAGAACAAGGCCTCGGGTCTTTTGACCACAGAGACAGAGTTTCAATTAAACTAAAGATGGCATCTAGGCCTCAGTTATATTTTAGCTCCAGACCCAGAAAAGTGGTGAAACCAGATGAAGCGACACCATGGCTGACATCAGGACCAGATGCACTGATCAACACGCCCTACCCTAGCGCCTACCAATCAGTAGAGACCATCACCTTGACCATGACCCTAACTCCCTTAGTCACCGTGATGAATGATTTTCCCCCTATATAATCCACCCTCTGAAGTACATGATGGTTCAGGGTCTTTCAGCATTAGCTCACCTGTGACTCCAGGTGTGGGCCACTTCCTCAAGTAATAAACCCTTACTTTCTTGGCTGCAAACTCCTGTTCGCTTCTTATTGGGCTTTGATGCATGCAGACAAAGGGATCTCTTTAGTCCGGGTAACACTATCTATATATATAAAAGGCTAAGCGACCGGCTGACCGGCTGGTAGATATGACGTGCACTGACCACCAGGGGGCAACACTCAATGCAGGAGTTGCTGCTCAGCAGCAACTTTGCAGAGTGCTCTCTCGCTCTCTCGGACCCCTCAGGGGATGTCAGACTGCTGGTTTCAGCCTGATCCCCCACAGGCCAGGCCGAGGGACCCCCGCAGACATCCTTCAAGCCCTGGCGCTGCCCCAGGTGCGGCCGGCCAGGGAGGGACCAAGGGAGGTTGACTCCAGGGTGTGTCCGGCCTGTCTCACCCAGTCCCGCCCCGCCGGCCACCTTCTAATTAATTTCCTTTCCATGTGCATGAATCTATGCACTGGGCCTCTAGTAATGAAATAAATGACAAGATATGTATCTTCTCTTTTTTTTCTTCTTCTTCTTTTTAAAGGTTTAGTGAAAATGTCTCAAAAAATCCATGGCGGTTCAGTGGTAGAGATGCAAGGAGATGAAATGACACGAATCATTTGGGAGTTGATTAAAGAAAAACTCATTTTTCCTTATGTGGACCTGGATCTGCACAGGTAAATGAATTACAGTCATGTGCAACTTAATGACAGGGTCACATTCTGAGAAATGTGTGGTTAAGCAGTTCTGTCGTGCGAACATCATAGCGTGTGCTTACTCAAATCTGGATGGCGTAGCCCACTACACACCTAGGCTCTGTGATACAGTCTTTTGCTCTGTAGGAGAAGAAAAATAATTTTCCCTCTACCCTTCCGGGTTCTTGGCTGAGACATCCCAGTAATAAAAGAGAGATTAAAGGAAAAAAGAAAGTCTAATAATATGTGTACCTCCTGTATACGTGTGAACGACTCAAAAAAACTGAGGAACTCTCCAGAATGGTTGAAGCCACCACCTTAAACACTGTCTTTGGCTGAAGACAAAAGAAAATGTTGGTGGGGAGGTCAGTTATAGGAGGTTACCATGTTAAGCCGCAAACAAGGGTAAGGTGTGAGGCATATTTAGGTCTTCCTCCTCTGCATTCATAAGAGTCTGGAGCTGAGGTCACCCCCCTCTTCCTGGTATAACGGGAGACACCCTGGACAAATGGAGAGTTCCCTTACGAATGTAAATGTATTTTCAAGGGGTCACTTCTCCTTGGCTTTTAGAATTTCTCCCATGTCTGTTCCTTAAAATCAATCAGCCTAAAATGATCCTTAGGCCAAAGAGACATATTTTGGGGAGACAGTTCTGTTCCCCTGTGGCTCCTCAGCCACACACCTCACCTCTCCTGACTACTGAAGGCAGTTGTAACAATGGTACGTATGTGTGTTGCACTACAACTTCACCACTGCTACGACATCATTAGATGACGGGAATTTTTCAGCTCCATTATAATTTCATGGGACCGTTGCAGTATATGTGGCCCATGACTATTCCTCCACATCGCAAACTCAGAAAGTATAATCTTAAGGGATTTCAGGATATAACTAGCTTTTTTACATAGATACAGCTGAATCCTTTGAATAAAGCCTGGAAAGAGTGCCTGAATATGTGCCAATGAATCTTACTATTTTTAAAATATATTTTTATTGATTTCAAAGTGGGAAAGAGAGATAGAAACATCAATGATGAGAGAGAATCATTGATTGGCTGTCTCCTGCATGCCCCCCACCCCCACACTGGGGATTGAACTCACAACCCACGCATGTGTCCAGCCCTGGAATTGAACCATAACCTCCTGGTTCATAGGTCAGCGCTCAACCACTAAGCCATGCCAGTTGGGTTGCCAATCAGTCTTCTTTTTAAATTTGACATTGCTAGATATACTGGACTTGTAATTCAGAAGACAAGAAGTATAATGGGAACAACGTGATTCTCAGGTCTTTCCAAGCCTCTGTTTCCTATAAAGGTTTTATTTGTAATAAATCAGTCGCCAAGAGCAGTACCAAGTATTTGCAGAAGGGGAAATAATAGAGGTACATCCTTGTGTTAAACTGTAAATGAAGTTGACAAAATTTTGACCTTTCAAGCTCTACTTTCTTTTGTTTTCCTCTTTAAAAAACAAAATATATATATATATATATATATATATATATATATATATATATACACACACATTTTAATTGATTTCAGAGAGGAAGGGAGAGGGAGAGAGAGATAGAAACATCAATGATGAGAGAGAATCATTGCTTGGCTGCCTCCTGCAAGCCCCCTACTGGGGATCGAGCCTGCAACCCAGGCTTGTGCCCTGACCAGGAATCAAACCATGACCTCCTGGTTCATAGGTCGATGCTCAACCACTGAGCCATGCCCTATTTTCAATCCTTCTACTTAACTAGCCAGTGGACCTTTTCCCCTTTTTATTCCTTGCCTTTGCCCTTTTCATACAGTTATAGTACAGAAAGAACCCCTAAAGTTATTTTAATAAAACACCGACCTGTCACAAATGCCTTTAAACATTTGTGTCCTAAAGACTTGAGCCTTTGCCTGTGTGTAAAGTGTTCAGAGACAGATATGAAAGTCTGTGTGCAATGCTCTCATTTTTTCCCTGTGTTTTCATAAACTTGCTCATGCTTTTTGAACATTTGAATTAGATAGAAACAGAATTTTTCCAAGGGTGCAGTGACTGAAGACTCACATTTTAGCCAAACTAGTGGCAACTGGAAGTGTATATATCTTGACCCAGAATTATGCATTAGACTATGTCCTGAGGACCTGTTATATTTGCTTGGGTGTAGACACTTAATTTACATGGTGTCATTAGACACCCTTTTTAATTATTCTAAGCTTAAGCTGTTGATAATATCACTGTTGCAACCACAAGATGGAGCAAATACCTGCAGAGGTCAATAAAACATACAGGAAATGAAGCATAAAAAACATCATCCAAGTAGGTTTAAAGAAGCATTTTTACCAGCGCTCTCCTGTTTCAGGTGAGTGTGCAGAGCTCTTGCCAGTAGAATAGTTACAAAGATGCTTTGAGCCTCCGTAGCCTAGAGACAGAAGGAGTTTTAAACGATAGTCCTTAGGCCCAGAAAAAAACTGTCACTGGCTATAGACCAAAGAATGTTTAGAGGTTCAAACAAGTTGTAAGCTGTTCTAAAATTGCTATTATTACGTGACTGGTTCTTTTTTGAGGGGAGTGGAGGAATTAATTTGTTTTGTTTTCTGCAGACTGGACTGCGGTCCGGGCCATTATTCTTTTTCTCTTAGAAAGGTTAAGAAGAGAAGCAGAAATGGCAGGCATGTACTGCTATGCTAGTCTCTCCTGCTGAAAAAGCGTTCCTATGATCATGAGCACTGCTGACTGCATTTCTTGTTTGAGTTAGGAGTAGATGTTTGCAGATACTCAGCACTTCCTGTGCCAGGAGATAAGGGAGTTTGTGCTCTGTTACATTTATATGAATTAGCTAAGGTCAAAGCAGTCTGGAGTTCTTGTTGTTGTTGTTGTTAATCCTCACCCAAGGATATTTTTTCCATTGCTTTTCAGGGGGTGGAAGGGAGAGGGGAAGTGGGGGAGAGAGAGAAACATACACAGCTATTAGTTGCCTCCTACTCGTGCCTGACGGGGAGCAGGGAGTGAGCCCCAAACCCAGGGGTACATGCCCTTGACCAGGAGTCAAACCTGAGACTCTTCGGTGCACAGGCCAACACTCTAACCACTGAGAGGCACCAGCCAGAGCTGGAATTGTTTTTATTTGGAAATTTAAGATTGCTGCCTCTGCATTTGCATCATGAGTTGGGATAACTAAGGAAAGGAAATACAAGAACTAAAAAGAAATGTAGAGGCTCTGTGGTTCAGCAAGTTACGAAAGCTGAAAAACTTCAAAACCTTGGAGAACAGAATAGTCACATTACTGTTTTGTTTTTCCTATTTTGGACAAACTATTCCATACTTTAGATAAAACCTTACAATCATTGTCTGTGCTCTGTGAACAACCAACATCCTCTTCAGCTCTGAATCACTGGCAGTCTGGGTGTTGGTGTACCAAACTCTAGCTCTCTGGGGTATATAAAACCGTTGCTTGATTCCATTACTTATCCAGTAAACTGCAGGCTTGTGTCCAGAACAGAGAAACTTACCCAAGAATTAGGGAAAGGTTCATCATATAACTACCTGGCATTAACGAAGGATTCATTAGTTTTTTGTCACTAAATGTCACATTTATAAATCCCACTACTTGAATATCAAATATAAGAAACAAAAATTTTAACCAACTCTGACCCCTTTATTTTTAGAGCACAGTATTTACTAAGGAACAATTTGCTAAGGTGGTGCTTGGTGTTGCATTTTTATGTTAATTATATGGAAGTCTGCCAAAGGGTTGCTCCAGCGCTGTTATTGCCTCTATATGGTGAAAGCTGGCAAAGGTGCAAAGCACAATGGTTTCCATTCAGTTTCCTTCCAGACAGCCTCCCACTGCAGCACAGGGAGCCAGGGCCCAGCCAGCGAGCCTCTCAGGGCTGCTTTTAGTTGGCACCGTCTTCTGTGTCTCGGGTACATTCATGCTGAAACGTGGCAGATGTAGGTATACGGAGAGCCTTCACTTTCTGCAGGGCAAGCTCTGTGTGCCAGCACCATGCAGAGACAGACAGACAGAATGGTAGCACCCTCCGTCACCCACCACTCTGTCTGGGTTTTTTCCTCCCAGCTATGATTTAGGCATCGAGAATCGTGATGCCACCAACGACCAGGTCACCAAGGATGCCGCAGAAGCTATAAAGAAGTACAACGTTGGCGTCAAGTGTGCCACCATCACCCCCGATGAGAAGAGGGTTGAGGAGTTCAAGTTGAAACAAATGTGGAAGTCGCCCAATGGCACCATCCGAAATATTCTGGGTGGTACTGTCTTCAGGGAAGCTATTATCTGCAAAAACATCCCCCGGCTTGTGAGCGGATGGGTGAAACCCATCATCATAGGTCGTCATGCGTATGGGGATCAGGTAAGTCATGCGGCAGAATTTGATTTTCCATTCTTTCTTCATGGCCTTTGGCTGCCCAGAAGTTCTTACTTACATGTGTTTTATGCTTATCTTTTGGTGACTACTCCCATTTGGTGACTCCTTACATGTGTTTTATGCTTATCTTTTGGTGACTACTCCCATTAAACAATTGAGAAATATATATCTGTATATTTACACATTTAGGTAGAAGTAAATACAGTAAGAGAGGCATCTGTCTCAACACACATGATTTTTTCAGACGTATTTTTTTTCTTTATCTTTTTGTTAATTTAAACCATATAATATTGACATTTTTTGTATGGATAATTTCCTGTGCTTCAACCAAATCAGTAATTCTCAACCTTGGCTCTAAAAGGATCCTTTTATAGGTTTCTTTGGTGTTTGTTTTATTTTGCATTTAAAAAAAAATGTGTTGTTCTGTTTTAATTCCAATACTTGAGATCCGATGAATCTGAATCCAATGGAATTCAGGCATTTTAAGCTCCCCAAGTGATTCTAAGTGCAGGCAGGGTTGGGGACCACCAAAGATTATATGAAACATGGTCATTTCATACATAAAAGGAAAAAACTAACCCAGTAGTTGAAAACAGTCGCTTTAAAACAGTTTTTTTCCTACTTGGAAAAGAAAGTTTCATTTCTGTACTTCTGTACAAGTAGGCTGGCTGCCAAATTACACAGAAAACCAGCCAACCAAACAAAATCAAAATTTCATGTTGAAACTGAGGCATGCAGAGTTTCATAGAAAGTAGTGTATGTCTTAAAAGACCCTGAAAACAAGCGTCCCTAATTCTGAAATCCAGAGGCTTTGGTGTATATAGCTGTTCTTGAAAGTCTGGCCAGGGCAGACCGCCATCTGTTCCTGGGACGGGGTCACCAGGTCAGTCACCAGGTCACTCCCTTTGTTCTATCCTGTGGCTCAAACTATGCCTCCATCCTGGCCTGTCCCTTCACAGGTACCTACCAGAGGCCAGGACAGGGAGTGTAGATGGGAGTGCTACACACATATACTTCTAGGAACACCCCTCTAAGTTCTTTTGAGTTCAGTGATGTTATTTTTGTCTGTTGTTGTTGTTGTTATTATTATTATTACTTGGCATTAGTCACTTGGAAGAATGATTGATCATTCTATTTGTTAAAGTCCAGATTGAAAATTCTAAACCTCTGGTTGATCCCCTGATCGTGTGAATATGCATAAACATCTACAAAGCATACATGGTGCTTGGTGCCTCGGTTCTTCCTTTTGAAAACAGAATAAATTACCATAGTAGAGGATTTTATATGTCAGAGGATTGTATATGTTAGGCAAGGGCACATGCCTGGGTTGCATGCTTGATTTTTATTGTGTGGCTACCTAAAAGTGAGCCTTCATCGTTATCTGACAGCTTTTACCAGCTTTCATTAGTATTGCTCTATACAAACAACCAAAGGATGCTGGTACCTGACTGAAACTAGTCTTGTATGTCATTGAAGAAGGCACAATGCAGCAAAGACTTAACAGGTGCCTAGTGCAGGCTGCGCACATTTCCCCACTAGAGCAGCTTCATGCCCACGAGAGAGGTGGCTTTCCTCAGACCGCCCTTTTCTAAGGGCCACCAACCTTCGCAGCTGCTTCCAGGATGGTTGCTTCATATGGACAAGTTCTGGGCGAGGCGTCAGCAGTGACGATAATCATGAAGAGACAGCTCTGAAGGTCCAAGGACCAGATCCCAAGTCTTTTGACCCTAGATCCGTGGTCGGCAAACCGCAGCTCGCGAGCCACATGCGGCTCTTTGGCCCCTTCAGTGTGGCTCTTCCACAAAATACCACGTGGGGGCGTGCACGTACAGTGCAATTGAAACTTTGTGGCCCATGCGCAGAAGTCAGAATTTTGTGGAAGAGCCGGTATTTTGTGGAAGAGCCACACTCAAGGGGCCAAAGAGCCACATGTGGCTCGCGAGCCGCAGTTTGCCGACCACTGCCCTAGATGTATATTTCCACAACAGCACAGTCCCTTCCTTGTAAGAGAGATGTAAGAATCAAGTGAGATAATAAGACGAACTGGTTACTCACTTAAAGCATCTGTCCTATAGTGAGGACAAGGCATTCGCTCTTCATCATCTCCAATACCACAACTAGTATAATATCACCCCCTATAGGAAGACCTCCCTGACCTCCAGGTCACGTCATGTCTCTTCCTCTGCCCTCCGATAGCATGTTTATCTATGCCCACTTTGGTAAGGGAAAGTACTTGGTTAATTCTCACTCCTCTCCATACCAGTGCTCAGAAAACTGCCCTGTGCGTGGTAGGCACCCAATAAATACTGATCTTTAACGTGTGCTACCACTGATTAGCTTCAGGGACTCTGTGGACCTCCTCATCCCCATCTCTGAAATAAAAGAAGGTTGAGCTACACTGTGCTATTTATCTAGGTGTCTTCCAACTCTGTCCTATGATTTTTTCCCCTATTCTTTGTAATCCTTGTTGGAATAGTTGTTTTAGTTTTAATACCTCTCCCTCTCTTCCCCCTACACAGTACAGAGCAACTGATTTTGTTGTTCCCGGGCCTGGAAAAGTAGAGATAACCTACACGCCAAGTGATGGATCCCCAAAAAAGACATACGTGGTACATAACTTTGAAGGTATGTAATTAAAGTTCATCATGATCATGTTTTCACACATCGTTTAGACAGCATTATTTCTGGTTGTTTAAAGTTTGTTGTGTGGCTGCCTAAAAGTGCAACCTGAATCTACAACATTACTACGGGACCTTAAATCTGAATAAAAAAGTAATTGGCTTCCACGCCTCCTCGCCTGGATAAGGGCAGAAGAGGGATTAGCCTCCCAATTGGAAATGCATATAGGCAGACAGGTTGATAAATAGGCATTTCTTTTAAATCACAAAGGGAAGGTTGGTAGGAGTCTGTTGTGCACGAATTATATAAATTAAACGTTAATAGCCCTAGCTGGTTTGGCTCAGTGGATAGAGCATTGGCTTGCGGACCAAAGGGTCCCAGGTTCGATTCCGGTCAAGGGCACGTGCCTGGGTTGCGTGCTTGATTCCCAGTAGGGGGTGTGCAGGAGGCAACCAGTCAGTAGGGAGTGTGCAGGAGGCAGCCGATCAATGATTCTTGTCATTGATGTTTCTCTCTCTCTCTCTCTCTCTCTCTCTCTCTCTCTCTCTCTTTCCCCCTTCTTCTCTGAAATCAATTAAAATAAATAAATAAAGACAAAAACGGTTGTGTTATATACTTGCTGAAATGTTCTTCTTGCCCATCTGCGTATTTATTCTGTGGAAGTAGAACATTTGTTTTTTGCCTTTTCTTGCCCAACATTCTCTTGCTTCAAAAGGTCCATTATGGTGAATTCCACTCAAAACAGGGGACCCTCTTTCTCTATTATTGAAGTTATTAAAAGCATTCACGCAAACAAAAATGCAAAAGTTACCTAGCTTTTGTTTTCCTTGCTTCCTCTAAATAATAATCCTTTTTAATTGAATTTATTGAGGTGACATTGGTTAATAAAATTATACCTATTTCAGGTGTACAATTCAACAATACATTATCTGTATGTTGTGTGTTCACCACCCCAAATCAAGTCTCCTTCCATCACCATTCATCCCCCCTTTATTTTTTTCTACCTGCCCCCTTCCTTCTGGCAATAACCATACTGTTGTCTGTGTGCATGAGTTTTTCTCTTTTTTCTTTGCTTAATCCCTTCACCCTTCTCACCCAGCCCCCAACCCCCTGCCCTCCAATAGCTGTCAGTCTGTTCTCTGTATCCATGGGCCTTGTCATTTTCATGGAACCTAGCTCTGTGGCTTTCAGCACCTTTCACATTCTGTGCCCAAGTTGGCCCTGGATAGTGGAATGAATTCAAGTTCTGTCTTTCAGCAATAACAAAGTTCAACTAACAAGAGTTGTGAAACACCAGTGATTACATGTAGCCTAACTTTTTCTACCAATGACAATGTGAACTGTCTGTATCCTCCAGGGAATTACAAGAATTTTCATTCTCTGGCTGAGGATTGAATGCACACTTAGAGTTTAAAATACAGATTTGAAAATTTAAAAGTATGAAAGGACAGTTTAAAAATTATTCATCCTTTCTTGAGTATAGCTCTGGTTCATATCAGTGGATTTTTGTATTTCAGTGTCTTCAGCTTCCTAAAAACCATATCTCTTTATATCATCTCTATTGCCCTTTTAAAATAACTTAGAATGGCCAAGACCAGTTTGGCTCAGTGGATAGAGCGTCGGCCTGCGGACTGAAAGGTCCCAGGTTCGATTCCGGTCAAGGGCATGTACCTTGGATTTGAAAATTTAAAAGTATGAAAGGACAGTTTAAAATTTATTCATCCTTTCTTGAGTATAGCTCTGGTTCATATCAGTGGATTTTTGTATTTCAGTGTCTTCAGCTTCCTAAAAACCATATCTCTTTATATCATCTATTGCCCTTTTAAAATAACTTAGAATGTTCTTAACTATGCCTGACTTCCCGCCTATTCTGTGCCTCAGGAGCTCATGGGATATTCAAGTTGGGAGCCTGGCTGGGACTTTTTGAAGCCTGGGCTTAGACATGGGAGCTGGGAATTGGATGATTTGTGGTTGTGAGTGGATTTAAACTTGTTACAACTGTACCCCATTTCTCTTTTTTTCTCTCTTTGGTGTCTCCCCACAGAGGGTGGTGGTGTTGCCATGGGGATGTACAATCAAGATAAGTCAATCAAAGAGTTCGCACACAGTTCTTTCCAGATGGCTTTGTCCAAGAGTTGGCCTTTGTACCTGAGCACCAAAAACACTATTCTGAAGAAATATGATGGGCGTTTTAAAGACATCTTTCAGGAGATCTATGAGAAGTAACTACAGTTCTTTTTTCCTTCCTTTTTCTCACACTGGCATCTATAGTATGGAATTTGCATACTTATCCCTTTGGTTCTGCGGAAAACTGAGTGAAAACCATCACTATCCCATAAAGTCAAGAGCGAAACAGATTTAATGGGAGTGAAACAAAATCACTCTAAGTTGCTTTTCAAAGATAAACGTGTTCTCAAATCTGGGTCCCACATTTTTTTTTCAGAGCCAGAATTATGTATTGTTTGAAGAAAGGTGCCCTGTTACTGATAGTTCTCATTTTTCGAGCCTGAGTTTCTGAGTGGGGCCCATTTCTATTCTGCCTGAAACCCATTGCCGTGATTGAAAACTCTGCTTTAGTAGCCTCCTGGGCTGACACCTACATTTATAACAACTGTAGATTCAACAACATGCGAGCATGGGTTAAATTTTAACTGCCTTTTAGGTGCAAGTGTTCAGGCCAGGCCACAATTTGCACATCTCCTTCATGAGACATTTTAATTCCTCTTCCTGCTGCCCATGTCCTAAGCCTGGAAGCTGTCCTAGTTTCCTGAAGGATATCAAGCAATAGAGTGGTCTTCCCCCCACCCCACCCCTTACATTCTTAAAGTAAGCCGAATCGCAAGAATCTGACCAGCAGTGTATTGAAAACTGTGAAAGCAGTGCTTGGGAAAGCCCTGTCTGGCTTAGTTCGCACATCTCTCCAGAGTGGTTGCACAGCTTGACAACGATTGGGCGGGGGTTTGAGCCCGTGTATCAGGTTCCTCAGTTTGTGCTGCTTCCACTGAAAATGCTGCTTCCAGCCCCACCCCTCAGCCCCCCTTCAGAAGCACATGACGCCCCTCACAAAACCAGTTTTCCTCCTTTTTTGTTCTTGTCTCTCTTCCTTCCCAGGCAGTACAAATCCCAGTTTGAGGCCCAGAAGATCTGGTATGAGCACAGGCTCATCGATGACATGGTGGCCCAAGCCATGAAGTCGGAGGGGGGCTTCATCTGGGCCTGTAAAAACTACGACGGCGACGTGCAGTCCGACTCCGTGGCCCAGGGTAAGGAGCGGGGGCACCAAGTAGAGGTGGAGCGGGCCCTGCGGCAGGTGGGCGATGCCACCGTCGTCTTCCGGTTTAGGAAGAAGGATTCTGTAGCCCTGTCTGTAAAAGCCAGGAAATGTGAGTGCTGCCCGGCACCCAGGCCCCTCTGCTCAGCTGACCGAAGAGGAAGTTGGGCTCCGACTGGGGCAGCTACTCCTCAGGGTCGCACCGGAAGTGGCTCAGTGGTTGAGACTCTGGGCTCCAGCCTTGGATGTGTTAACACAGTTTCCCCACTTGAAGTTTCAGTGCCTCCAACAGGCAGCCCAACTGCCTGGTCTGAAAATCACTCCCTTTCCTGCCTTTATTTCCCCCCTGAGAATGTGAGAAGCTAGGCCACTTGGCAAGGAGGGTTAAAGTGAGGGGCCTGGGCAGTCTAATAACCAAGGGGGATCTCTCCAAGAGCTCATCGTTCTTTTTTCATTTTTTAAAACAATCCTAAATGTTTCTTCCCCTAAAAACATAGCCTCAAAATACATGAAGCTGGAAGCTAGAAGGGAATTTTGAAATTTTTTATCTAGTCCAACTGCTTTCTCTCTTTCTTTTCTTCCTTTCTATTTCCTTCCCTCCCTTCCTCTTTATTTCTTCCTCTTCTCTTTATTCTTCTCTTTCTCTTCCTCCTTTCACAAATGAAGAAACTGAGGCAGTCATTGTAGGCACACATCCCGTGAGAAACAGCCGGGATGAGATCCAGGTCTTGCAGTTGCTTTTCCAGGACCCTTCCCTGTTCACTGTACTTACTGAGCTTGAACCACTGTTGTCTTGGTGCAATAACAACTATTATTAAGGTGAAGGTATTGAGGGTACGTAAGTAAACAGACCACTAGCGGGGAAACAGACACTAGACACCATTCCTCATTTCTCAACAGTTGATTGGCATCAGCTAGCACAGCAGGAACAAAGGGTTGAAAAGGAATCCAAGGGCTCACTCGTCTGGCAGCAGGAGCTACTCATGCCCTTTCAGCCAGCCCTGAAGGCTGCTCTGTGCGTGTTCACTACTTAGGTTGACACACAGAGGAACTGAGCAGCGAAGCCCAGGGCTGTTCATAGAAATTCAGAAATGTGTCCAGTGTCATCAACAGACACTCCTTCCCTTGATTTCCTCAGCACCAAGTGGCCCTTCAATTTCAGTGTCAGCTTGACACTCCCCTGGTGAATGTTTGTGTCGACTTGAATTATGTTTGCTTTTCCCAGGAAGTACTACTTTTCCTTTCCCTTATGAAAAAGTTAAACATCTCTTATCAGTTTTAAAATCAGTAGGTCAATGCAGTTAAAGGCCACTGTGATCTCAGATGAATGAGTTGCGCACCCTTTGCTCTCCTGTAGCTCCAATCCTCAGGATGCAGGAGAGGAAGGAGTGTTCCTTTGTGATGACTCCATGGTGGGTAAGGGACGTCCTTGTCCTCAGAGTTCTCTGTAAGGGACCCAGATCATTCCATCATTTCTGCATAGCCTCCTGGCAGCAAGAAGAGAGGATTTAGGATGAAATTCCAAAGGCACATGTCAGTTACAGGGGTTCAAAAGACTCTGAAATGGGAGTTCTGAAGGGCAGTGGCCAGGAGCACACTGATAGGATGCCTGGAACCAAGGCTGTCTGGGCAGAGCCCCCAGATAAGTGTGACCTCAAGGCAGCTAAACAGATGAAAAGGCAGCCGGCTGTCTTCACGTTATTCTTCTCTGGGGGAATGAGCTACTTTGGCCTCACACCAAACATTTCACCTACGGCTTCTATTTTGACAGTGATACCAACTGGTGTCTCCTAGCGTTACCGCATAGGCAAACTCACCATGGAGAGTGAAGTGTCCTGCACTTACTTCTCCAGTCAGTCAGTGTTTGAGAATTTGCTGAAGCCTCAGACCAACACAGTGACATGATAGGAACTCGTAACCTGCACAGGAATTTCTAACTGTGTCAAAGATGAGTTTAAGAAATTATTTATGCTTATTTACTTATTCTCAGATTTAGAAAAAATAACGGCCCATTATAAATTTGTATTAACTTCTCAGGTGCTTTGGGGAAATAGCAAAAGTGGAGAAAGGTGTTCTTTGAAATCAAGTGTAAAAGAGTGATAAACGAAGAAAAGTCAGTTGCATGGACTTAAAAGTTATAATAGGTTCCCAGAATAGGAAACCACAGAGTAGAATTATTTTGGTGGGGCTGTTAGAGTAAGGCCGAGTGGAATGTTCTTGGATCCACCCCATCCTCTCTTTACCTGCCTTTTCTTACCAGCCCCAGTGAGTCTGAGCAGCTTGATGGCAGAACACAGCTCACTGGTGCTTATTCTCCCAGAACAGGGAGGCATCTGCATGTAAGAATAGCAGTAATGTGCTGGGCTCTTCCTCTGTGGCAGGTGCCATCCTACAGAACAAATAAATTTCGTGTTTACTCCTGCACATACGTGTATTCATCTAATTCGTACAACAAGCCGATTAAGTAGATGTTTTATTATTCCCATTTCATAGGTTAGAAAACTGAGCCACAGTAGCTAGGAAGTCACAGAACTAGGGTGGAATGCAGACAGTCAGACCCTGAGTCCCCCGAGATCAGTAAGTGCAGGAAAAGGACTATGATGTTTGTTTGGCTTCCCGGGAGCCGTGAAGATGAAGTCATTTGCTCTCATACCTGAGCAACCCGGGGCTCTCCATGCAGTTGAAGCCAGTACTTCATGCTCTTCCACTTACAGGTTATGGCTCTCTGGGCATGATGACCAGCGTGCTGATTTGTCCAGATGGCAAGACGGTGGAAGCAGAGGCTGCCCACGGGACTGTAACGCGTCACTACCGCATGCACCAGAAGGGGCAGGAGACATCTACCAATCCCATTGGTGAGAGAGTGAATAACTGCTACACTGACATCCAGCCAGAGAGTGGAGATCCAAAAGGGACTCCGACGTGTTCCTTTGGCTGCCAGATGCTTTGTGTGTAAAATTACCACCACACGGCTGACCTGTTCCCCTAACGGGAGCTGTTTTAACATGCTTCTTAAAATATACGCAATATATGCTTTTTCACTTGGAGGGACAGTACATATCATAGAGGAGAATGTTATCAACAGCATTTTCCTTTCCCTTTGGTGCATTGAAATGTCACATATGGCTAAGAATCTAAGAGCCACACAAATAGATCCTTCTAACCATGCTTCAAGGATAGCACACATTCAAAAGAGATTACAGGTTGCGGGTTTGATCCCAAGTCAGGGTATGTACAGGAGGCAACCGATCGATGTTTCTCTCTCTCTCCCTTCCTCTCTCTAAACATATCCTCAGGTGAGGATAAAAGAAAGAAAGAGAGAGAGAGAGAGAGAGAGAGAGAGAGAGAGAGGAGGGGAGACCAATATAGACAAGAGATAGAAGAGATTGTGACCTTCTGCAAATCAGTAAGTGCCTTAAGCTTCAAGCTACTTCCACACAGTGAAAATGTGCTTCCTTGCAGCTCTAACAAAACCCAAAGCATTTCTCCTACAAACATGCAGATTTTTAAGTTTCTATTCAGTGAAATATTTCTAACTCTCCTAAAATTTAGAGTGCTTGAGGAGAGCAACTGATGAAGTCAGTCACCTAAATTTAAAAAACAAAAACCACTTCTATCTTTGGGAACTGAAACATTGGGAATATGTCTGGCTGGTATGATTGAAGTGTGTGTGCTTGTTTTTTGCCCTTTCAGCTTCCATTTTTGCCTGGACCAGGGGGTTAGCACACAGAGCCAAGCTCGATAACAACAAAGAGCTCGGCTTCTTTGCAAAGGCTTTGGAAGACGTCTGTGTGGAGACCATCGAGGCTGGCTTCATGACCAAGGACTTGGCTGCTTGTATTAAAGGTTTGCCCAAGTAAGTGTAAGATGCCGTGAGCTCTGTGGTCAAATGACCACTTTCCCTCCCTGGGCTCAAAACATCAGTGCTCTTTGGAAGTATATGAATTCATTGCTCATCATCTAGTTCAGGGCTCAGCAGACACTGTCTATAAATTGTCAGACAATAAACATTTCAGGCTTTGTGAATATACAGCCTTTTCAAAGCTAAGCAGCTACTGAACTTGGTGGCCTGAGAGCAGTCGCAGATAATTAGCCTCTAGAATGGGTGTGGCAGCGTTTCAATCAAACTATGTACAAAACTAGGCTGCGGCCTGGATTGGGTCCATGGGCCAGTGTAGTCTGCAGACCCCTGATCCAGTGGACAGCCATTGGGTGGCAAGGTTCCATTTAATTTAAAAAGAAAATTGTAGACAGAAACAAAGGGACCCCTGAGGCTATTTCAGTCCACCCTCTATTTTTCCACTTTGCAGAGGAGAACAGTAAGCAGCACAGGCGTTAGATGCCGAGCTGGTCAGTCTCTTCCTTAAGTATCTGCAACCAGCAGTCACACGTCGAGGCCCATGTATTGCCCAGGATTTCTCTGAGATCATGGTAACCCGTATCCCAGCTGGATTAGCTGCTAATCAGAGACTTTGCCCTCAAAGTCAGAGTTGTTTACTCTGATTCACCTCCGGAAACACTGAGTTTAACATCAATCCCATGTCCCAGCTGTGTGTCTTCAGAGATCTCAGTTAGGGTCAGTGCGCCCCAGGATTGACTTGGTCACTACGTCTTTTCTTATCTTAAAGTTGCAGCAAAAGTACAGCTCTTGACATGTCCTTATTGGAATGGTACCTTTGTAGCCTATTGATAGGCACCTATCAGCAGGAATTTTGTTGTCTTTTTGTGTTTATTTTTGGGTGTTTTTTTTT